CCATTCCCATTTTCCCATAGCAGTGCCTCCATGTGTTGCATTGCACTGACTGATTCCAGGACCCTGTAGTTCAGTGAAAGCTACTGACTTTAGAAAAGAGCCCATCTGTTCCTCAGAAAATTCCCATTTAAAGTAGATAGCGTACTTTAATTCATACTCAGTGTGCTCTAAATTGCTGGTTTTCATTTTAATTATCTTCCAACATTTCTGGGTATATGTGCTTCATGCTGAAGCAAATTTGGGTGATTGCAAATGATTTTTTTAAATCTGTGTGACAGATTGTTAAAGTCTGGGCATATGGAAAGCTATAAACAAAACTCAAACCATATAAGTAAAGGCTCCACGGGCTTCCTTCAGCTAAATGTAAATTTTCTACAAATGACCCTATGACTCATTATAGGCATATGTGTGGAAACTCTAGTGTAATAAATGTATAAACCTAGATGTTGTTCTCAAAACTATAACCAGAAAACATCTGACCATAGACAAATGGCAAATTATTCATAGTTACCAATGTTATGCCTTACCATTGGGATTTCCCATAGGGAGTGCAGGAGCAGTACATTTGCCGGATTTTTAATTTAAATTTCTTTCCATTGTACCCACTTCTGAAAAGGCAAATCTCATGTATTTAATGATTACAAATCCTTTCCTTTGCTGTAATTTTATCTTCCAGCTAGGACAGATGAGGATGCCGCCAGCTCTAAATTCCATGGTTTGGGCAAGTCCAAAGCTTCCTAAATTCCCCCAAACACTCAGGGACCCCCATTGTGACAGCCAACACTGACTGTGTTCTTGCATTTTGGCCATCTCTGAGCCTCACCATGGTGACTCAAACTTGAAACTTAAAACTCTTCTGAACTGAGCAAAAAGATGTTATTTGAACAGAGAGCATTAGTATAAAACAAATTTTAATGTAGATGTGATGGGTCACTTATAGGAAATATTTATGCCATATAGCCACAGAAAACACCAGTTCAATCTTAGACATTTGAGCTCTGCAAGGTACCATTTTGGCCACCTGCTGCCAGGGAATCTCTTGGTCCCCACTCTCAGGAGAGCACTCCCCAGTATCCTAACTCCACTACCTGCCCTCCTGGCTTGCTCCAGGAATTTCAAATCCTTGTCTCTCTTTTCATCCTTTAAATCACCAATTTGTTTATATGAACTCAAGGTCTTCAACAACAACAACAACAACAAAAAACACACAAAAAAACTTTTTAAATATGCTCAACTTCAAGGACAATTGAGATAATAGATTTTTGTTCACTTTCTGATTACCTTCAGATGTCTAATCAACAAGATGACACAATAATTTATACATCCATGCATCCAGTTACAGAGCCGTAGAAAGGAGAGAGACACATCCACAATTATAGTCCAAGACTTCAACATCCATCCCCCCAAAATTGATAGACCACGTAGACAGGACATCAGCAAGGACAGAGAATACATAAAGCAAAACTCTCAACAAACTTGATCTGGAACATTACATATAACGTTAGAATACACAGTCTTAGTGAACACAGAATACTTACCCATATAAATCATGTTGTGAGCCAATATCAAGTGTCAGCAAATTTGTAAGGATTTCAATGATACACAGCATGTTTTATAACTCAAATGAAATTAAATTGTAAAATACTAATAGAAAGGTATCTGAAAAACATCCCCAAACATTTGGAAACTGGCACATTTCTGAATAACCCATTGGGCAAAAAAGGAATCAAAAGGGAAATTAAAAATTATTTTGTGCTGAGAGAAAATGAAAACAGAATATAAAGAATTTGTGAGACACAACTAAAGAAGTATATATAGGGAATTTTATACTAATAAACTCTTTATTGAAAAAAAGAAAGGCCTAAATGCACTTTTACCTTAAGAAAGTGGAAAAATATCAAATCAAAGAAATCAAACTTAAATAAGCAGAAAAAAATATAAAGATAAAAGCAGAAATGATGAAATAGATAACAGAAAAACAAAAGAAATTCTCTATGAAATAAAATCTGATCCTTTAAGAATATCAATAAAATTAATAAACTTCTAGCTAGACAGTTTAAGGGGAGAAGAGAAGATGAAAATACTCATTCAAAAAAGGGATATCACAACAAAATCTTTAAATATTAAAAGAATAATAAGGGAATAATATGATTAATTTTGTGACAGTAAATTTGTTAGCTTAGGGGCGCCTGGGTGGCTCAGTCAGTTAAACATCTGCCTTTGGCTCAGGTCATGATCCCGGGCTCCCTGCTCAGCAGTGAGTCTGCACCTCCCTCTCCCTCCGTCCCTCCCCCCAGCTCATGTTCTTTCTCAAATAAATAAATAAATAAATAAAAGCTTTAAAAAAAATCTGTTAGCTTAGGTAAAATCGAACAATTACTTAAAATAAATAACCAAACATATTCAAGAAGAAATAAAAAACTGAGTGGAACTTTATCTTACCGGGGGAGTTGAATCGGTAGTTAAAATCCTCCCATAAAGTAAACCCCAGGTCCAGATGGCTTCAATGAAAATTCTGTGAAGTCTCTAATGAAGATATAATACTAAATCTATGCAAACTATTCTAGAAAATTGAAAAGGAGGGAATATTTCTCAACTCATTCTATAAAGCCGGATACTCTGATACCAAAACCAGAAGAAGATGAAAAGAACATAAAAAGAACATGAAAAGAAAACTATCGACCAATATCCCATATAAATAAACTGAGGCAATATCCCTGGGTGGCTCAGTTGGTTAAGCGACTGCCTTCGGCTCAGGTCATGATCCTGGAGTCCCGGGATCGAGTCCCACATCGGGCTCCCTGCTCGGCAGGGAGTCTGCTTCTCCTTCTGACCCTCTTCCCTCTCGTGCTGTCTGGCTCTCATTCTCTCTCTCTCCCAAATAAATAAATAAAATCTTTAAAAAAATTAAAAAAATAAGTTAAATATATATACATATAACTATGTTTGTGTATAATATATATATTAATTAGAAGCTTCTAAAATATCTAATTAATCCCTGACATTCTACAGATAAAGAAGTTGAACTTCAAAGAGTTGAGTGAGCTGCGGATTGTAATGACCCATTAGTTGAAAAGCCCATGGCTCTTCCGATGGTGCGACTTCCTAATGGCAGATGAGCTTTGTCTGTCCTGCTCCCTATAGACGGATTGGTTGCCTTTGCACACACAAGTCATGTCCTTACTTCTCAAATAACAGCCACTAGACTTGTTCCAATGTTTTTCTATCTTGCCTTTATCAGACCATGTGAGTCACTGGGACTCCTGAATTTCTGCTATTACCTCATCCTTTTACATGAGTTCATTTCTTGACAGTTTTCTACATCTTATCTTTGTTTTATTCCTCGTATACTGTGGGGGTATGTGGGGAGTATAGATAAATGCTGATAACTACAGTTTTACTTCCACGAAGTACCTATAGTTAGGAATTTTAGTATGGGCTAGACCATGGGCTAGATCTTCAGTAAACTCCTGTCACTCATGCAGAATAACATTAAGAAATAAAATGTAATAATAATAAATTTCACCAGAAGAAAAAGCTACTAAACTTATTTGCTTTATGCTTGAAAAATAATGACTATCTAGATAAAAAATAATTTTTCAGATACTAATGCCCAAATGCTATTTGGTACAAGTGGGGAGTAATTTCTTTTTATTTATTTTTTACTAAAAGAATTTTTTTTAAAGATTTTATTTATTTATTTGACAGAGAACACAAGCAGGGGACTGCGGTAGGCAGAGGGAGAGAAGCAGGCTTCCTGCCGAGGAGGGAGCCCAATGTGGGGCTCGATTCCAAGACCCCAGGTTCATGACCTGAGTCCAACGCAGACCTTACCCAACTGAGCCACCCAGACACCCCAAGGTGGGGGGTAATTTCTATGGCACAATGCAAATTGGTTAAATTGAATATTTCCAAATTAGAGTCTTATAAATGTTCATAGTCTCAAGCGTGTTTTCATGATTTGGCTTTTATGTAGGGGTTAGAGCTTTTAATCAACTAACACAATAATTTTACACATAGCAACAAGACAGTTAAAAGGTGTTTTGTACCTCATATATTCCATAATATTTTTGAGATGAGAAAAATCCATTTGGAAAATAAATACTGCAGGAAGTCATACGTACACTGGAAACAGCTTTGAAAGGTCACTGTATTATTGTACTTCTTCAGTCTCCACAGACATTCTTGGAATGTTAAATTAACCCATCAACTTTACTTGTCAAAGCAATTGAATGTAAGTGAATATATTGCATTTATATTTTATTTTTATTCACAGATTTGTGGGTACATACACAGAATATACATTAGGTAGCTGTAAAATGGATCATCTAAAATGAATGATCTTTATATATGCCTCGACAAAAAAGTACCAGCAAATGTTACTGCATTAAGAAGATTTATCTATTTGCACCATGTCAAAGAAGTATGAGACATTGTCAAGAAGGTAAGACTGTATTCTTGGAATAGAGGGCTTTGAATTCATTAGAAGTGTGAAAATATCTTTTTGCTTCTTTTAGTAGGAGAAAAGAAAGAGGCCATCTGATAGACATCTCTTCTGGAAGGCCTCCTGGTGAGCTACGGAGGATGTCCTCCTACATATTTGTAATTCTTTTGTCTTCCGTCGGAAGAGCGGGAGATGTAATTGTTTTCCAATCCTTTCTCCGGAATTCCTATTCCTTAGTATCCTGGTGCAAGTCCTTCGATTTGGAAAACTTTCTCTAGATTACCTTTTATTTCCTTTCATTTTGTCAATACTTTAAGATTCATTTTTTTGGCAAATTAAGTTTAATATTCTATTTAGCATTTAATAATATTTACTCTCATTTCCTATTATAATGAAAGGAATGCTCTTTTTTGGTCTCTAAACCAACTCTTCTTTGTGAGCTCAGTAGGAACCTCATTTTTCCCTTAGTCAGGGACCTGGATCTCTTTTCTACCTTTACTAAGTCCTATATTGTCAGTCTGTCTCCAGAATCCTTCAGTAAAGAATGTAAGCATGCTCAAGCAGGTACCATCTTAAATTCATTTTCATACCAGGAAATGAGCTTGACAAAGTGGTCGTTGAGAGCAATGCCAACCCCGGCATCAAAGGTGGAGGAGCGGGTGTCACTCTTAAAGTTGCAGGAGACAACCTGGTCCTCAGTGTACCCCAGGATGCCCTTGAGGGGGCCCTCTGATGCCTGCTTCACCACCTTCTTGATGTCGTCATATTTAGCAACTTTCTCCAGGCGGCAGGTCAGATCCACAACGGACACGTAGGGGGTGGGGACACAGAAGGCCATGACAGTAAGCTTCCCGTTCAGCTCAGGGATGACCTTGCCCACAGCCTTGGCAGCGCCAGTGGAAGCAGGGATGATGTTCTGGGCAGCCCCTCGGCCATCCTGCCACAGCTTCCCAGAGGGGGAATTATGCTCCTTCTTTTGGTTTCATGTTTGCTTGAAATTGTGGTTTTACTTCTCAACTTCATAGCTAAAATCTTGACTTAGCTATGTTCATTGTCTTTATTTTTTCTATCTTATTAATCCTTTAACCCATGGTTTTCTTGAAATTCCATTTAAGGGTGCATCACCAAGGCTAATACCAGCCTTATCAAAATGGCCTGTGGTCTCTCTCATTCCTCATCGTTGTAAACATCCAACAGCACTTGATGCTCATTGCCAAACACTTGCCTGTCTGGAGAATGAGTGAAAAATAAACTTAGAAAGACGGAGGATCCAGGATTTGCTTACAAAATTTGTCTCAGATGATCCTTAAGGGCTTGATCTCATCTCAATTATTATCTAAAAAGGAAAAGGAAAAGACAATTATTTAAAAAACGTAAATGAAAGTTATATTTTATTGGCATTAAACATGTTCAAAGAACAGAAAAGAATTAGTAACTTCACACTTAGCTTCTAAAATAGAAGTTATTTTGATGTTCACATATGTACTTTAATACTCCATTATTGATTAGAAATTGATTTAAGTTAAGATATGGGAGAAAGAGTGGGCAAAAGGGACCTGTGATGTCAATGGATCCATCAGGTTTTTTTTTTTTTAAGTATTTTTATTTATTTATTTGAGGGAGAGAGAAAGCGGGGGGAGGAGCAGTGGGAGACAGACAAGCCGACCCCAAGCTAACCTCAGAGCCCGATGTGGGGCTTGACCTCACAACCCTGAGGTCATGAAGGCCTGAGCTGAAATCAAGAGTCTGATGCTCAACTGACTGAGTCACCCGGGGTGCCCCTGGATCAATTAGGTTCTTAAGAATGTATTTTAAAGGATTTTGGTTACGATGACTACAAAACAAATGAACACTTACTGGCATACAGCCATCCTCTTTTATGCTCACAGACTCTGTGGATCAGGAATTTGGACAGGTTGGAGAGGATAGGGTCATCTCTGCTAAATTTGCATTAATTATGGCGGCCTTGAATCCTGAGGCTGGAGGGAGCTGCGGAGGGTCGACGCTCAGACAAACAGCTGGGTACTGCTGAACCAGGGACATCTATCCCATGCGTCCTCCTCATGAGGCCTCTCAGGCATGGCGGCTTCAAGGCAGGCAGAGCGCTTTCCTCTAGGCTTAGGCACATATCTGAAGAGGGAGAGAGTACCATGCAAAAGCAGTGCCATTTTTTTCTACCTAGCCTCAGAAAAAATGCAGTTTTATTTTTTGCCTCATTTTTTTCATTACCAGTGTCCACAATCAAGGGAAGAGAAATTAGACTCTGCCATTTGTGGGAGGAGCTTCAGAGACTCTACAGCCATGTGTAAAGCTATCACAATAAAAGAGCCACTGACATCGACAGCAGCCTTCCCAGGAGGAAGAACAGCGAGCAGGGTGACCAGCAACAAAACACCAGATGGTACATGTTCAAACCATTGTTGCTCAGGAAGACCAAATGGATATTAAGGCTATGCGCCATAAGAATCTCGTGATGGGGCTCTCGGCTCCTCCCCATTCGACAGACAGCCGCATCTTCTGGTGCAGTGCCAGCCGCATCCCCGAGACACGATGGGGAAGGTCAGAGTGAACGGATTTGGCTGTATTGGGTGCCTGGTCACCAGGGCCGCTTTTAACTCTGGCAAAGTGGATATTGTCGCCATCAATGACTACTTCATTGACCTCAACTGTATGGTCTACATATTGCAGTATGATTCCACCCCTGGCAAATTCCACGGCACAGTCAACGCTGAGAACTGGAAACTTGTCATCAATGGAAAGTCCATCTCCATCTTCCAGGAGCGAGATCCCGCCAACATCAAATGGGGTGATGCTAGTGCTGAATATGTTGTGGAGTCCACTGGCATCTTCATCACCATGGAGAAGGCTGGGGCTCACTTGAAGGGTAAGGCCAAGAGGGTCATCATCTCTGCTCCTTCTGCCAATGCCCCCATGTTTGTGATGGGTATGAACCATGAGAAGTATGACAACTCCCTCAAGATTGTCAGCAATGCCTCCTGCACCACCAACTGCTTGGCTCCTCTGGCCAAGGTCATCCATGACAACTTCGGCATGATGGAGGGACTCCTGACCACCATCCATGCCATCACAGCCACCCAGAAGACCGTGGACGGCCCCTCTGGGAAGCTGTGGCAGGATGGCCGAGGGGCTGCCCAGAACATCATCCCTGCTTCCACTGGCGCTGCCAAGGCTGTGGGCAAGGTCATCCCTGAGCTGAACGGGAAGCTTACTGTCATGGCCTTCTGTGTCCCCACCCCCTACGTGTCCGTTGTGGATCTGACCTGCCGCCTGGAGAAAGTTGCTAAATATGACGACATCAAGAAGGTGGTGAAGCAGGCATCAGAGGGCCCCCTCAAGGGCATCCTGGGGTACACTGAGGACCAGGTTGTCTCCTGCAACTTTAAGAGTGACACCCGCTCCTCCACCTTTGTTGCCGGGGTTGGCATTGCTCTCAACGACCACTTTGTCAAGCTCATTTCCTGGTATGAAAATGAATTTGGCTACAGCAACCAGGTGGTGGACCTTATGGTACACATGGCCTCCAAGGAGTAAAAGCCCCCTGGACCACCAGCCCCAGCGACAACAAGAGGAAGAGAGAGGCCCTCAGCTGCTGGGGAGTCCCTGCCCCGACTTATCCCCCCAAACACTGAGAATCTCTGGACCTCCACCGTTTCCATCCCAGACCCCCTGAAGAAGGGGAGGGGCTTAGGGAGCCCTACCTTGTCACGTACCATCAATAAAGTATACTGTACCGAGCCAAAAAAAAAAAAAAAAAGAATCTCATGATGGGGGGCACCTGGGTGGCTCAGTTGGTTAAGTGACTGCCTGGGCTCAGGTCATGATCCTGGAGTCCCAGGATTGAGTCCCACATCAGGCTCCCTGCTCAGTGACCCTCCCCCCTCTCATGCTCTCTCTCTCTCTCTCTCTCAAATAAATAAATAAAATCTTAAAAAAAAAAAAAAAGAATCTCGTGATAGTGATGGTAATGGGAGTGGGGCAGTGACCTAGCATTTCCAGGTCTCCTCTCTTTCTGTAGTTCAATCCTGACACATCACTTCTGGATAGAATTTTTTTAGATACAATTAATGATTGCCATAAAAATTTCATAATTTTCTGAATAGTCACTGAATATATTGGTAAGTACCGAAGTATTTAATTCTAACAAAGCAAGAAGTTTTGTCCTATGCTTTTGTTAAATGTCAGAAAAATACATTTTTACTTCACTTATGAGCATGGATAGAGACTAAAGCACTAATTAAAGGAACTCAGCCATAGCTTTGAATTTAGCATGCTTCCCTCTGAGCTGTCATCAAGGGAAGGTCATTTTTTTTTCTAATACCAAAAAACTCCCAAATTCCAATGAAAAATTAAAAATGAAAACTATTAATTCATGTAACGAAAAAGAATATCTATGGTTTATCCAATATTCATATATCTTAATGGCACAACGACCTGGAAAAATTGTAATGGAAACCATAACCACAACCACAGAACAACAACAACCAACACCATCAAAAAAAAAAAAGGTAACATGTCATTCATGTCTATAGGTAATGGTTTCCTTAACTATAAGAATAAACGCTGCCAGACATAAGTAATACAAATGTAAAGCTAGCCAATTCATAGCTGTTAATATTGTGAGTATTGACTTGATATACCTACTGTAGGAGAGAATCCAATGTTCAAATAATGCATAAAAATTAAACTATTTCAAATAATGTTGGTGAAAAATAATGAAACAAATATACATATATAAGAAATTAATTATATATTGAATTAATTCCAACAGGCTTGCTTCTTCTTACGTGTTTTTTGGGGGGGAACAAAAGGTCCAATAATGGCAGGCAAGCAGAATAAAATCAGTTCTAGAAAATAAAGTCATATAAGTATGTAAACATCCAGGAAAGTAAAAAATAATACTTATGACTTTAATTGAAAACATGATGATACTTCACTCAGTTTTAGTTTTTTATGAATGCTGGACTAAAAAGTACATTAGTAGCATGTACTGTGAATTATACACACTTATACATTTCCAGAAGAAAAGTGAGGGTTAATGAAGTGAATAAATGTTAAAAAAAAAAACATGGGGAACAGCATTGTCAGAGCTGTGTTTCAAGAATATAGGAGCACATTGGTTTATTTCCTGCAAAAGATTTGCTCAAATAAATGCTTCATATTATTCCATAAATGGATTTAGTAAACTTCTTTTCCAAGTGATAGGAGATGCCACTAACTGGATTGATCAGGTAATTGCAAACGTGTAGAGCCAAATCTTGCTTAGCTGGTTCATGGGTTGTTGTTAGGACTTACATTGTGTAGGCTCCTACTGTCTCTTAATGCCCCTTCATGAATCCAGTTCTCCCTCTTTTATTTAAATATTGAAATGCAATGTGTTTCTATAAATCCATAACCTCTGACTATGGCAAACTATAAAACATCTAGACTTAGAGTTTCTCGTTTGGAAAAAGAGTGGTCATACTTCTTGACTAATAACTTCCTTTTCTGTTCTGAGACTGCAGATAAATCCATAAATAGATTTCTAAGTAAATTCAAGAATAGAAAAATCCATAAGGGGTTTCCATGGGAAGACATATATGTTGAAATTTTATTTACAGATTAAAAAAGGAAAATATGATCTCTGCTTAAGGGCAAAAATGGGAACCGAGGCTTTTAATAACACATTAGACTCTGAACACCCCTTGCCAAAATTGTCCTCCCTGGAGAATGTTCTACCAGCCATTTGGCCTAGAAACTGCTATGCCAAAGAACTCAGGTAGTGATCCAGTTAACAGCTCGTTCTGCCCACCGGTTTCATTCATGCCTTTAATCCTTCCAAAGTTCTGTACCTTTGAAAATTTGGCAATAGAGTTTTAACTTGTATATATTTCTAGTTTCACAGCTTTATCGAGGGAAAATGTCCATACTACTGATTGTCAGGGAAATGCAACT